TCTTCTCTTGGATAAGTGAATGTCAGTGTACAGTCATCTGCATATGCATGTGATTCTGGGATGAGATGAAGAAGGTCGTTGAAGTAGACATTCCATAACAATGGTCCCAGCAAGCTTCCTTGTGGAACACTTGCCCCAATAGGATGTCTTGCTGATTCCGCTCCATTGAGAACTACACTTAGAGATCTACCATGAAGGTAATCACTGAGGAGACATAGCATAGAGCCTACAATTCCCAGTGCTTGAAGTTTTGCTAAGAGACCCTGGTGCCACACCCGGTCGAAAGCGCCAGCAATGTCCAGTGCTACCACACAGCTGACTTTGGATTCATCCAGTGACCGGTGCCACTTAGTGGAGAGGTTTAACAACAGATCAGCAGCAGAGTAACCTTTCCTGAAGCCATATTGACGATCACAAAGTAGTGAGTGATAGTCAAAAAACTCTTGTCATTTGTCTTGAGATTATTGTCTCGAGGATCTTACCAGTGATTGACAGGAGTGACACTGGTCTGTAGTTGCTGATTTCTGCTCTGCTCTTCTTTTTGTGAATAGGGACTACATTTGCCTCTTTCCATAGAGAGGGCCATTTACACTGTACTAGGCAGTGCTGAAAGATGCGAGTTAGAGGTGCTGCTACCTAGTCTGCACATCATTTTTTTTTTATACACAGGGTTTGACAAGGTTAAGGATCCCTAGCTTTATTGACAAGCTATTTACAGGTTAAAGATTCCTAACTTTATTGGCAAGCTAAGAGCTGTTACCTACATCAGCTCATTTGAAAGCATTTTTATTGTTATGAGACATACAAGTAGGGAGCAGGATGAAGTTGGAGCCATCTGTGGGCCAGCATTTTCATTTGATCAACTGATTTTATCTCGTTGACATCATTATGCTGTACGGATGTGTTCCATACTCGAGTCATCCTGGGTATATATGATCTCAGATGAAGTGATGTTCTAGAGAAGGGTACAGCCAGAGTGAAGTTACTGCTTTCTGCCCATCTTGTGGTATAGAAGCTTGCTTCACTCTGTCCTCAAAGTGGATCCAAGTGTGGTACTTTGATAATATTGGCCTTGTACAAAATAGTAAGGTCACCCACATCCCTCCTGTGTTGAAGGCTTTGCAGAAATGACAGATCTATCCAGGATTGGTCCAGGCGTGAGATGAGACGTCTTGCTGTCTTCTCTACTCTGTCAAGCAGGTTAGGTTAAGGATCCCTAGCTTTATTGACAAGCTATTTACAAGTTAAGGATTCGTAACTTTATTGACAAGCTAAGAGCTGTTACCTACATCCCTCTCTCTCTGTTTTCTCCATCTTTTCTATACTACATATTTTCATTTCAGTAAGTTATAAGGACCTTTATTACTCACAGCCTGTAATAAAATAGTTGTCTTATGTCAGCTAACAGTTGTTACCTGAAAGATGGAATGATGCAAGGACCCCGTGATTTTAAAGTTATTAATCAGTCTTTTAGATTAAAAATTTTAAATCACCTGCTTGTAATTATTAAATTTTTTTACACTTTCTTGTCTTATTTAATATATGTTTTACTAATCGGTTCATCTTACTTTCCTAAATCTATCAATCAATTTTCAGATTTCCTCTATAACACCAACCAATCCTGTTGAATCCTTTGATAACAAAGTTAAAATATAATACCAGTAATGCAGCACAATACACCTTCACTTTAAACATTTCAAATTTACATATTGTGCTTGTGTAGTAAATTTTTCTTTGGACCCTCGAGCCCCTTTAATATTTGTTGCAATATGTCTCACAGTAAAGAGGAACTCTTGTAACATTTTTACACAATTTCAAGGACACTTTTATCAAAGAAAGCCTTTATTATATGACATTTCAACCTTAGTGAGACTTCATCAAGTACAGTACAGGAAGGCCCCGCTTATATGGTGGGTTAGGTTCCAGGTTGCCACCGTAAAGTGAATCTCCCATTTTATCACTTTTAAATGCATATAAATGGCTGGTACAGGGATTACCTATCATATACGTGGACCCTCAGTACGTGGCATCCCCTTAGTTAAACCAGCTATGATACTTTTAATGAAAAAAATTTTTCCCTCGGCTAAACACTTAAAATCACCCTACGAAATTCGTTAGAGACGCGTCCGTTTGGGGCCTGAGCGACCCTAGTTGTCCCGTGGGTGCCGTGTTTACAAGCAGCAGTG